TTTATTACATGTACTACAAAGAATGTAATTTACCTCCTAGAATGCCCATGTGGATTACAATACGTGGGTATGACCACAAGAAGTCTTAAAACACGCTTAGGTGAACATTGCCGGAATATTATTAATGGATACCAGAATCATAGGGTATCTAAACATTTTATCATTCATAATAAGGATCCTGGTCTCTTAAAATGTATTGGCATAAAAAAATGCACTATTCCATGGAGAGGAGGTAACATCAAAAATATTTTAGGAAAATGTGAATTGGAATGGGTCTTTAATTTAAAAACATTGGTCCCAAATGGTTTAAATGCAGACTTTGATTTATTTAATTTTATTTAAATATCTCACCAATTTTTTAATTTTATCTTGTTTACATTATTTTAACATATACTAATATGTTTTATGTGCTTATGCTTTTATTATTTTAATACTAGCATCTTACATATGTATATGTTTTACTATTTCCATTATGTTTTATTATTTCTATTTTGTCTTTTGTATATATGTGCCACCTCTAACATGGCCACCTATTTAATTGTTCTCCCAGCCTATATTCCCCTCCCAAGATGGCCACCGCTATTATGTTTATATTAGTTCTTTCCCCTGTGGTTTTAAACCACTCCCCCCTTCCCTACAGCATATTCATTGTGCCTGACATGTAGTCTAATTACAGACTACATGTCCCATAATCCTCTGCGGCCGGAAGTGACGTCGCGCCCGGTACGCGCGTCACGTGCCCCTCCCTAGTGTGTGCTTCACTCCCTCCCACCTTGTAAGCCCAATGTTGGGCTCTATTTGCTCCAGAGACATGTAGTCTAGCCATAGACTACATGTCCCATGATCTCGCCGAACCGGAAGTGACGTCGCGCCAATGACGCGCGTCACAGGGTCCGGTTTTAAAATGTAAAAACAAAGCAATAAATGCTCGTTTTGATAAAAAACCTATGTTATTAGCACTATATAAGTTATATAAACCTAATTTTTATTAAGAAATGTTGTTATGAAAGTGCAAAAAAGATTTGTCAAACTATTGGTTGTACAATTTTGGCGCCAATTTTAACATTATTTTATACCTATATAAACCCTAACCAGCCAGGTAGAACTGTTTGTTATCCATTGATTAAGCCTTATATTGGTGAAACGCGTTTGGATATTTTTTACTATTTTATATATTGTTAATAAAAGATTTTGGTCATTTTTACGTTTATACCATCATCTTTTCTATTACCTGGCTATTTTATAAACTTTTTATTTACATTTTACCTCTTTTATTATTTTTAAAGTCCTGTACACCATACTCCAAGAATCCCAGGTGGGGATTATACCACCTACGCTGTTACATAGAGCAGTCAGTCTGCCCTATACATTGTGAGTATATTTTATTACTTTATTTTATCAATTAAGATTTTATTGAGAGCACTATCGCTGTTTTACCTTCTCTTCGAGCTCCTGATATTCCGGTCAAGATCACTCCTCATATATCCCATAAGCGGGGATGATACCGCTGTACGCCTAACCAACTAGAGCTAGCCTAAGCTCTACCGAATGTGAGTGTATCTATCATATTTTATATATTTTTTATTAGTGTAGAACATACTGCACCATTACTGTCTTCATTTTATTTTCCCTAACTTCGGCCACCTGTTACCACAAAGAAGAGGACACTTGCTGAATATCCTGTAAGCGGGGATAATACCGCTGCAAGCTATCCACACCAGAGCTGGGTTAAGCTCTGTAAATTGTAAGTAAGATCTCTTCTATTTTTACATATTTGGACCACTCTCCACGACACCGATACCTTCTGAATATCACCAAAAGTAGAACCTTGGACACCAAAATATACATTGGACTCAACACTCAGTGTACACATCGGCACAGACCCATCCCCCAACTTTTCTTGTTTCTACCATTTGTATTCCAAGGACATTAGAGGGAGTCCTTGTTTGGGACTGCTGCCTTTCTGATTAGCGCTGACTCTACCCCCCGTTCTGTTATATTTCCATAACGACTGGGCGTTCGCCCTCTCCAAACAATACGCCAGACGGGATGGGAGGTTACTGATCTTGGTGGGATCGCTGAATGGCCTAAAAATGACCTTAGTCTCGCTATATGCACCGAATGACTCGCAGAAAACCTTTTTAAACATGGCCTTCCGTATAATAGCACAATACAGAGAGGGTCACACCATAATTTGCGGGGACTTTAATTGCACTCCCGACCCCTCCCTAGACATCAGAAGGGCAAACAATGAATCGCCAAAACCAGCCTCCTTGGCCTTAGGCCAACATCTAAGCAAACTCATGCACGAACACGATTATTATGACACGTGGCGAAATTTATACCCACAAGAGAGAGATTTCACCTATTACTCGCCCGTTCATATGACACACACCAGAATAGATTTATGTCTCCTTGACATTAAAACGCTACCTTTTGCGCTCAGTGTACACATTGGACCGATCACGTGGTCCGATCATGCTCCACAAATTGTAACAATACAGATCCCATACCAGGCTAGGGGACGAGGTACGTGGCGTCTCAACGAACGCCTTCTCGACATCCCTGAATATCTTATCCAAATACAAGCCCAGGCAGAGGATTGCTTTAAGAACCACGCAAAATGCCAGACGTCAATAACAACCCAATGGGTAGCCCACAAGTCAGTCTTAAGGGGTGGTATAATTCAATTAGGGGCGAGGGCAAAAAAGCAACATAACAACGATAAAACACAATTAGAACAAGATTTAATTGCAAATGAAGAGGCACACAAACGGAATCCCACAAGCAGCACACACGAAAAAGTAGCAGGAATCAGAGCAAAACTTAACTCACTTCAGCTAATAGAAACGGAAAAGAGAATGTGGTTCCTTAAGCAATCATACTACACCATGGGAAATAAGGCGGGGAAGCTCCTGGCTAGAAAGGTCCACCAAATCAAACTACAAACAAAAATTCCCTACATTACCTCGGAACCAGGAGTAAAATTATATAACCCCCAAGATATAGTCAACGAATTAGCAAGGTATTATGAATCCCTCTATCAATTAGTCAATGATCATAGCACATATCAACCAAACATATCGGAAATCGAGCGCTTCATTGACCAAGTTGAGCTTCCATGTCTGTGTCACGCACAATGCTCCTCTCTGGAAGAACCCTTCTCAGAGAAAGAAATAGAGAACGCCATTAAGACCCTACCCAAACACAAAGCCCCTGGCCCAGATGGTTTATCAAACTATTATTACATAAAACATTCCCCACAACTGGTCACCCCCCTCACCAAACTCTTCAATAACATAAAAGACTCTGGGATAATGCCCAAGGAAATGCTGAAGCCTTCATTGTAACGCTGCCCAAACCAAATAAACCCCCCACCCACTGCGCTAATTTACGCCCGATTTCCCTTCTGAACGCAGACACAAAATTGTATGCCAAATTGATAGCAACGAGGCTCAAAACGATACTCCCGGATCTCATTTCCGCAGAAAAGCGGGTTTCGTACCAGGGAGACAAGTGGGGGACAACACACAACATTTTATGAACCTTATAGATTGGGCAAATCTAACGTCTCAGTCCGGCCTGATTTTGGTGCTGGACGCCGAAAAGGCTTTTGATCGCCTCCATTGGGACTACATGTCACTGACACTATCCAAAATGGGGTTCACCCCAAAAATCCTGGCAAGCATTCTTGTCCTATACCGACACCCAACAGCCAGAGTGTTCAGCACAGGCTTCGTATCCAACCAAATAGAGATAAGGAATGGCACAAGGCAGGGATGCCCTCTCTCACCCCTCATTTTCATACTGAGCCTGGAACCCTTGATTCGCCTCATTAAAAGCGACTCGACGATACAGGGACTCCAAACACCAGGTGGCACACAGAAACTGGCATTATTCGCAGACGATGTTTTAGTGTTTATAACACACCCAGAATCCTCTCTACCACAACTCCTACATAGACTCGACACATACAGGCAGGTATCTTACTATAGAAACAACTCCCTGAAGACACAAGCACTGCCCATAAATCTGCCAAGTATCACTGTCACGACACTAAAATCACAACACTCATTCGATTGGCGGAAGGACTCCCTACAATACCTAGGGATCAAACTCACGAAAACCACCCAAACCATTACAATGGAAAACCATCACCCGGTCATTCAGAAACTTAAACTCACACTAGAGAAATGGGAGGTTCTTGAAGTGTCCTGGTTAGGCCGAATCAATCTTGTGAAAATGATGGCCTTGCCACACATTTTGTACCTGTTCAGAACCCTACCCATCGCGCTACCGACCAAATTACTAAAACTCTATCAAAGCACCATAAACGCACATGTATGGAAGCGGAAGCCCCCGAGAGTAGCAAAAGGTACTCTAGGGCTCTCAAGCACAGACGGGGGACTGAATATGCCAGACATTAAGGCTTACTACAGGGCGTCTGCTCTAGCACAGGGTCTCTGTCTATTGCGCCCCACATGCACACTCCGACGCCCCATATGGTTTGCAATGGAGAGTGCCTGTCTGAATACCCACGATCTGTCAAGTTATCTATGGGCGGGGGGGCAAACGCGAGTGGCGACAGGAAAACAGCTGCAGAGCACAAAGTTCTTACTGATGGCCTGGAATAAATGGAGCCCACACATAGCAGACTCCAAATCGCTCTTCCAATCAGCACCCCTGACATCATTAGAAATACTCTCCCCTGACCTGAAGATGGATCGATGGAGGGAGGGAGGTGCACATAGGGTCCGGGACATCTTAGTAGGGGACAAGGTTAAGCTATTTCCAGAGTTGCAAAAAGACCTACGCTTGCCAGCGAGGGATATCTTTCTATATCTCAGAGTAAAAAATATAGTACACTCGCATATCCGCAAACTCACCAGTCGCTCTTTCACACCCCGCCTAACAACGACACAGATACTCACCACCAGGCATGTAAAGCCACTGTCAGCGTGCTACAAAGCACTGATCACCGCGACAGCCCCTGATAAGCAGTCATACATGACACAGTGGGAAAGGGACCTGGGTCTCCAGATCCCCAGGGCAGACTGGATGACAGCTTTGGAGGTCACAAAACGGGCTTCGCAAAGCCTTACGACCGAGGAAGCATACTGCAAGGTTTTAATGCGGTGGTATCTGGTACCACAAAGACTAGCAAACATGTACCCGGGCACGTCCGGGAAATGCTGGAGGTGCAACATCAGTGAGGGATCCATAATCCATATTTTCTGGGCCTGTCCCCTACTAACAGACTATTAGGAAAAAGTTCACTCCCTCATACTAGATAAGACAGGATTCACCCTACCCATGAAGCCAGAACACTACATTCTCCACATACCCGGTATTGCCTCCCACCCACACAGAAAGGTAATTCTCAACATACTCACGGTAGTAAAAATAATGTTGGCAGGTAGCTGGAAGAGCAATCAAACACCAGCTGTACCCAATATCATTAACAGAATGGACCTGATTAGTCAGTATGAGAAAATGGCAAGCAGAGCAAACGGCTGTAGTGAGAGATATGACAGAGAATGGAGTAGCTGGCCGGCTGAGAGTTAAAAGGTTGATCAGGGGAAACAAGGTCACACACAGGGTTACATTCAACAATGCACTATAAAATGCAATATCTATTGTCCAGGGCACCCCCCCCTTACACCCTCCCTTTTTCTTCTGTACCCCATCCTTATCCCCTAGTTAAAAGTTATATAACTATTGCAAGGCAGCTAGTGTATCAGATGTGTAACACAAGCAGAGGTTCCTACCCACACCGAACCGACACATAATACGAACGCAGGACAAATCATAGCACGTGATATCAGTGCTCCTCGGTGCGGAAAACCCAAGGTCATATCATCCTGGATGATAAAAAAGAACCCAGATTTGCACGAGGAATATGCGGGGTAAATCTTTGAAACATGGTATCCACAGCTGCGCCTGTGACTGGTTTGGCATGTCAAAATTGCACTGCGCTGCAAAATGTTTGATCCTTTATGCACCAATAAAAAAGATAAATGAGAATAAGTTAAAATGACCCCCGCTCACTGTACACTAACACAAGGTTCCACAGAACACACTTTGATACCACCCATGTTATCTGAACACATGTTGCTTTTTATTTGTTGTTACGTAACTTTTCATAAAACCTGTGATATATTTATTTATTTATAAAATATTTTACCAGGAAAGATACATTAAGATTTCTCTTGTTTTCAAGTATGTCCTGGGTCCACAAATCATTGCATTGTTACATTAGGGTACAATAAAATACAAAAACAATATTAATACACAATATATACAAAATGTTAACATAGAACAGATGGAAATATATAATCAACCATGACAGGTGCATTCTGTTTTGAGGTATGTAGAGAGGGATTTCTTAAAGGACCTTAGGCTTATATGGTAATGGATGTTGTAACAGCACCCCCAGGCATAAAAGAGGTTAACAGCCGTTTAGTAGATATTCCCCTTCCAGATATGCAGGCAGCTACCAAAGACACCAATCCGCCGAACAGGAAACCATATGAATTCCGTAAACAGCCGAATAGGAAAAACCATACGAATAGGTATACACTCCTAGCAGTCGAACTGGAACAGCATACAATAAATCCTCCCAAGAACGAGACAATGCTCCGTTTTGAGTGTCAAGCAGGAACAGACTGATCTGTGTCTTTATTGGCCTTATATACACATTCTTACACATTAGTACCACCCACAGGGTTTTGCAGAACAGCCAATCAATACACTCAGACACTCCCACAATTACATCACAATTATCCAATTATCTCCAAGGACAGAGGCAAAACTCCATTAAGCACATGGCAATAAAAAGACAGTAAAATACAATAAATTCACAAGGTTACATTTATTTCATAAAATACAGACATGCAACATATCCCCAGATAACTTAGGTCTGAGTGCACATTATTACTGAATGGCGCTCAGACCACACACATACAGTTCTATTGCCTTGGAGCCAAAGTCTTTTATTACACGAATAGGCTCCATGGCATAGCTTTCTGGGTTAAATGAGTTAATTCAGTAAATCCGTGAATGAACCGGCCACGTGTGAACTACAGACTGCTGCCATCCAGTGTTCAGTATGCGTAGCCGCGGCCACCCGGTATAGTCAATTAAGCTGCGGTTAACCGCAGCTACTGGGCGGTCAATTGGCGGCGCTCGCCGGCTTTTGGGCAGCCAATTGCCAGCTAACCGTGGCTCCTGGGAGGCCAATAGATGGCTGTTTGTTCGGTAGATAGAATCTACCGAACGCCCAGGCAGAAATACACGAATAGACCTTTCTGCATAGGAAAATAAAGTATTTAAATGCCAGTCCATAGTCAAAAGGCAGCAGGCAGGCAACCAGGCTCCTCCAATGCACAGTGGCGAGATTGGTCTCATCACAGATGTCTTACTCAACTTCATGACTTGTTTATTGCAGGCCTGCGTTGCCAGCATGTTGAAAGTACATTTATATGTCAAGGACCTATGAGTCCTACCACTTTGCTGCAATTTAAATACAATATGAAACGCTTAAAGAAAAACGACAATAAAATTCTAATGTCCAAAAAAAAAATTACAAAATTGAGAAAGCCAATATATCTACCACTGTATACTTTTTTGTTTTTACTGTTTAGAATGAAAAACAGTTCTGCAATTATTAACCATCTAAGGACCATGTGATGACCCATGCTGTCATGTAAGGCTTTAATGCCTAGTGAAGGCATAGACTGTCATGCAGTAAAAGTACCATAAAATTCCTGCTGGTACCAAGGATCCTCAGGGATCTTTCAATATCTGGGGGATCAGTTGGGCCCATAATTAGTGGCCCCAGACTGACCTGTGCTTTGTTTGCAGAGCTCAAAGTAAGCGCTGCAATTGGGGATTTAAATAGGGATTTAAATCCCCATTGTTACAATGCTGTGTGATCAAGCATTTTTTAACACAGCATGTTTAGTTGCTCCAAATTGACAGTTGAGCTGCATGCAGAGTTTAAAGTGAGATTGGCATGCTGCTCTTTTTTATTGGGGTTTAAAGGGTTAAATCACTGCTCACACCAGGAAACTAAGGTATCAATAGATAACTGAGACACCCCTCTTTTTCCTGGGACCATTTTTAGTGACCCCAGACTGACAGGTTAGCATTTTGTTTAGAATCAATTATTAAATAAATTTATATAATGCACCGATCAGCTACATAATTAAAACCCACTGATAGCTGAAGTGAATAACATTGACTATATCATTTCAATGGCACTTGTCAAAGAGTGGAATATATTAGGCAGCTAGTAAAGTAAGTTCCTGAATTTCATGTGTTGAAAGGATAAAAAATGGGCAAGCGAAAAGATCTAAATAATTTTGACAAGGGCCAAATAGTGATAGCTACATGACTGGGTCAGAGTATCTCCAAAACGACAACTCTTGTAGGGTGTTCCCGGTATGCAGTGGTTAGCGCCTACCAATAATGGTGCAAGGAAGGACAACCGGTGTTAGGGCATCCAAGGCTCATTGATGCATGTAAAGCAAAGGCTAGCCTGTCTAGTCCAAACACATAGAAGAGCTACTGTAGCTCAGATTGCTGAAAAACATAATGCTGGCCATGATAGAAAGATGGCTGAACACAGTGCATTGCAGTTTGCTTTGTAAAGTGCCCATGATGAATCCTGTCCACTGCCAAAAGCTCCTTCAATGTGGACATGAGCATCAGAACTGGACCATGGAACAATGGGAGAAGGTTGCCTGGACTGATAAATCACATTTTCTTTTAGATCAGGTGCGTGTATGTCGGTTACCTGGGGAAAAGATGGCAGCAGGATCCTAACATTAACCCTAAATGTCCCATGTCCTAAACTTAGTGAATGCACTAACTATAATGAAAGTGTAAAACTAGTTTTACTTACCTTCCAGGACCTTGCTGTGGAGGAGTGGCAGGAATGTGCAGCACAGGATCCAGCTGATTCCCCTCTTCGGAAGTGACAGGGTAGGGGATTCAAATTAGGGTTAGGATTGGGGACTTGTTCATATTTAGTGATATTTCACATTAGTGGAATATCACTAGATTGTGCTTTTTCACACTTTATTTTAACCCTTACCCCAAGGGTTAGGGTAAGAATAGAGTGTGAGAGAGGTTAGAATCACTTACCTAACCCTAATTTGAACCCTCACTTAACCCTAAATGTCCCGTGTGCCTAAGCTTAGGGAATGCACTAACTATAATGAAAGTGTAAAACTAGTTTTACTTACCTTCCAGGGCCTTGCTGTGGAGGTGTAGCAGGAGTGCTAGCACGCATGTACAGCACAGGATCCAGCTGATTCCCCTCACCGGAAGTGACGAGGGTAGAGGATTTTAACGAGGTAGGGGAATTTGATAGAACACCGGCCCATGCAGGGCTGGTGCTATCCATGCACCAGCCCTGCTGATTGCCTCTCCCTCCCCGGCCCACAGGCCCAGCAATGTGCCTGTGGGCCGGGGAGGGAGAGAGAACCCGGGGGAGCTCTTACCTGCAGCACCGCCGGGTTCTCCTCTCGCGATCACGGAGCGTTGCCGCGGTTACCATGGCAACACTCCGTTCTCGCGAAGGTGAACTCTAGCCTGAGCTGCAGGTTAGAGTTCACTCCCCACTAGAACCACCAGGGACTGGAAGAAAGCAATGTCTCCCCCTCCCTCAGCAAAGGTAAGAAGGGAAGGGGGACATTAACTATATTTATTTAGTATTTATTTAATAATTTAAAAAAACAAATATCTTTAATCTGCCCCCCTATCCCCTCACACATTGCACCACACACAGCCCCCACTTGCACACACAGCCCCCGTATCCCCTCACTCAAACTATAACCCCCTACACACTGCACCACACACAAATATACAGCCCCCTTACATACACAGCACTCCTTACACACACACAGCCCCCCTTACACACAAAGCCCCCCTATCCCCTCACACAAACTATAACCCCTACACACTGCACCACACACAAATATACAGCCCTCCCTTACACACACACAGCCCCCCCCACACACACACAGCCCCCACACACACACAGCCCCTCCCTATACACACACACAGCCCCCTTACATACACACACTTAGATACACAGCCCTCTCTTACACACACAACCCTCCCTTACATACACAACCCTCCCTTACATACACACACACACAGCCCCCCTAACATCACACAGCCCTCCTTACACACACACAGCCACCCCCTTACACGCACACACAGCCCCCCCACACACACAGCCCTCCACACACACAACCCCCTACACACCCAGCCCCCTACCCCCTCACAAACTATAACCCCCACACTGCACCACACACAGATACACAGTCCCCCCACACACAGCCCCCCATAAATACTGCCCCCCATAAACACACACTGCCCCCAATACACACACTGCCCCCCCATAAACACATAGCCCCAATACACACACAGCCCCCCATACACAGCGCCACTCACACGCAAACACACTGCACCCTTTACACACAAACACACTGCTCCCAATATACAAATTGCTACCCCATACATACACTGCACCGCTCTCACACATGCACTACCCCTCCATACACATACAGCGACCCTCACACACACTGCACCGCTCACACAGACACATACACTACCGCCACTATCCCAGCAGACCCTGGGTAAGTTATCAAACGTTTTTTTAAACGGTTTGACTACTTACTCTGGGAGGGCACCACAGCAAATCCTGGCACCAAAACCACTACAGAGAGCTGAAGTGGTTATTGTGCCTGGATTGTTTCTTAAAATGATCTGCCAGTGCCCCTCCTGAGATTAGCTTCTGGATCCGCCACTGGTGCCAGTGTGTGTGTTTCTAGGTGTGTGTTTCTGTCAGTATATGTGTCTGTGTGTCAGTGTGTGTATCTGAGTGCCACTATGTGCCAGTGTGTGTGTATCTGTGTGTCCGATACTTTGACACACAGATACATACATACACACATATACACACTGTGTGTCAAGGTGGTATCTGTGTGTCAAGGTGTGTGTATCTGTGTTTGTATGTGCCAGTGTGTGTATCTGTGTGTCAGGTTCATACACACTGACACACAGATACACACACTGGCACATACAAACACAGATACAAACACCTTGACACACACATACACACACATACACACACAGATACTGTGTGTCAAGGTTTGTATATCTGTGTGTCAGTGTGAATAGGTGTGCCACTATGTGCCAATGTGTGTGTATCTGTGTGTCAGATACATACACACACACAGATACACATTGACACACAGATACACACACCAGCACATACAGAAAAAAGGTTTATGCAACGGCGCAAATTTAAAAAATAAAAATAATTTTTTTTTTTTTTTTACTGGGGGTTGAAGGGATGGTCCACGATGTTGATACTCTATGTCAACTTTTCCCAATTGGGGTTCCGCGAGAACACAAATGGGTTTCTGCCCAAATGTCGGGAAACAAAATGGCCGCCGCAGTAATTGAGGCGCGTGGCGGAGGAGCTCAGCAGGGGCATCACTAAGAGGCGCACGAGGAAGCTGAGCAGGAAGATCACTGCTTCCTCGCCACCCGCTCAGGCCAGCAGCCCCACTGGACCCCAATATTTTGTATAATAAATACTTGGGAACCCCTGCTCTATGGCATAGGGTTCCACAGGAAAAAATAATTGTGATCCCCTGCATTATGGATTGTAGAGACAGTATTGTTTTTGGAGAGACCAGTGACAAGAAAGTAACAAGCAGAAGTCAAAGGAATATAGAAGCATACTTGGCCAAGCCCGGTCAGAAATGTTAAGAAGACTCATATACCAACAAAGCAAACTGATAAAGAACACTGTGCCACAGCAGGGTAATTGTAACAACTTTCTTTACATCTCTCCAACAAATCCAACCAGATGGCAAGCTGATGATGTTAATTTACCCAAATGATTCACTCTGTGATGCATGTAACATAAGGATAAATCAGTATTTTTCACATTAGTGCCCTGTAACTTTATTTCACTTAGGCTTTTACAGTAATTAACTACCGTATATACTCAAGTATAAGACAAGTTTTTCAGCACATTTTTTGTGCTGAAAAACCCCCACTCGTCTTATACTCAAGTCACTGTCTGTATTATGGCAACTTACATTGCCATAATACAGACCAGGACCACCGGGCCTGTTGGGGGCTGGCAGCGAGCTGTTACTTACCTTTCCTGCAGCTCCTGCCAGCTCCCTTCTCTCTCCTCCGGTCCGGTCAGCTCCCCTGTCAGCTCCCACTGCAAGTCTCGCGAGAGCCGCAGGGTCAGAGCGTTGCCTTGGGTTACCGTGGCAACGCTCTGCGCGGCACTCAGACCGCGAGACTTACAGAGGAGCTGACAGGGGAGCTCACCGGACCAGAGGAGAGAGAAGGGAGCTGACAGGAGCTGCAGGAAAGGTAAGTAACGGCTCTCTGCCAGCCCCCCTCCTACACAGCCCATCCAACTGGACCACCAGGGAATGAGAGCCCCCCCTCCCTAAATATATAAATAAATGAAAAAATTAATAATAATAAAATAAAATAATAGATATAAAAAAATAATAATATTAAAATAATAATAATAATTAAAAAAAATAATAAAAATGCCCACCCCCCACCAAGGCTCTGCATCACACACACAAACACACTCTGCATCACACACACACACTGCATTCATACACACACACTGCACTCATACACACACACCCACCGCATTCATACACACACACACACACACACACGGCATTCATACAAACACACTGCATTATATACACACACACACACTGTATTCATACACATACACTGCATTCATACACACACACACTGCATTCATACACACACTGCATTCATACACACACACACACTGCACTCATGCACACACACACTGCATTCATACACACACACCGCATTCATACAAACACACTGCATTATATACACACACACACACTGCATTCATTATATACACACACTGTAAATAAATATTCAATTAATATAATTTTGGGGGGATCTAATTTTATTTAGACATTTACCAGTAGCTGCTGCATTTCCCACCCTAGTCTTATACTTGAGTCAATACATTTTCCCAGTTTTTTGGGGTAAAATTAGGGGTCTTGACTTATATTCGGGTCGACTTATAATCGAGTATATACGGTAATTACCTTGCCCCTTTCATTGAAAGTTCAGTCTTTACACAGCATGTTGGAAGTAAACGAGTATGTTAACGCATGTAAAGGTCTTATATTACATTTTAAAGTAGTTATGGAGTAAGCTTGTATGTAAACATTATATACTGTTACTGGATATTGCATTAAAAAAATATATAGGAACTCAGGATGATAGGAAAAACAATCGGCCACAAAATCCTTGATTATTACATTTTCTGCTAAAATAACAGCTACAACCACATCTAATTACATATCGGTATTTCCTTAGCCTTTCTGCAGATTGTACAATATGTTATCAATATAGCAATGGCCTCTTTCTCGTCACATATTTCTGATGTAAGAAAAGCTTTGTCAACGTTACTACTTAACCATCCAGTCTTCAGTGAACTGGCTTTCTGCGCTGTGTTCACCTCAATGCCCTCAAAAACAGCTCTTAGTGGCAGAGAATAATACAGAGGAAGAGACTGCTGCTTTATGCACCAACATGACCCAGTTTGATAAGAGCAGTTCCTCAATTTTACAAATTGAAGTGCCCATATACAATACCTACAGCTCATGAATGAGGCTACAAACCAAAAGTCTATGTCTATGAAACCAAAGCGGGCTGACAACTGGTACCATATGGTACTGTCATAATTACTGTATAATGGCCAATGTCCGTTCAACCTGTACACCAGACCTCTCTGTCCTAAACAAACATGCTAGACCTGCACTGAGACTTCTAACAGCGTTGCATCCCTGACCTTTTACTTCAGAAGTGTAGAGAAGCACAAATCAGGTAAGTATGTAAGCTGACATGACAGAGTTTTCTTTTGTTTTTTGTCAGTTCTCTGTGCTTTCATTAGAAGTAAAATTAAATGGCTGTGTGAGACAGATGCACTGCAGAAAAAGAAACCTTTGATCTAAGTACCCTGGAACCTGACCTGAGAGGCTACTGCAATATCAAAAATTAAAGGGACACTATAGTCACCCAGACCACTTCAGCTTAATGAACTGGTCTGGGTGCCAGGTCCCCCAGGTTTTAACCCTTCAGATGTAAACATAGCAGGTTCAGAGAAACTGCTATGTTTACATTGCAGGGTTAATCCAACCTCTAGTAGCTGTCTTCCTGACAGCCGTTAGAGGCGCGTCTGCGACGCTGGTTGCGAAATTCACATCCAGAGTGCAGAACGTCCATAGGAAAGCATTGAGAAATGCTTTCCTATGGACTGTTTGAATGCGCGCATGGCTCTTGCCGCACATTCGCATTCCGCTCCACTCGGCAGCTGACGTCGGCGGGGGAGGAGAGGTCACCAGTGCCATGAGAGCCCGGCACTGGATAAAAGTAAGTAACTGAAGGGGTGTTAACCCCTTCAGCGCCAAGGGAGGGGGACCCTGAGGGTAGGGGGGGGTCCTAAGGATGCTATAGTGTCAGGAAAACAAGTTTGTTTTCCTGGCGCTATAATGATCCTTTAACATTTACATAGTTACATAGCTGAAAAGAGACTTGCGTCCTTCAAGTTCAGCCTTCCTCACAAATGTTGTTGCTGTTGATCCAAAAGAAGGCAAAAAACCTGGTCTGAAGCGCTTCCAATTTTGCCACAAACTAGGAAAAAATTCCTTCTTGACCCCAAAATAGCAGTCAGATGTCTCCTTGGATCAAGCAGCTATTACCCCACTAATTAGAAATTATATCACTGTATGTTATGTTTTTGTAAGTATTTATCCAATTTCAGTTTAAACATCTGTATGGACTTTGACAAAACCACATCTTCAGGCAGAGAATTCCATATCCTTATTGTTCTTTCTGTAAAAAGACCTTTTCTTTGCCTTAGATGAAATCTCCTTTCTTCCAGCCTAAATGTGTGACCTCATGGCCTATGTATAGCACTGTTTATGAATAGATGTCCAGATAAAGGTTGGTACTGGCCCCGAATATATTTGTATAAAGTAATCATATCCCCTCTCAGGCGCCGTTTTTCCAAACTAAACAGATTTAATTTTTTTAACCTTTCTTCATAACTAAAATGCTCCATTCCTTTTATCAATTTTGTAGCTCGTCTCTGGACCCTCTCCAGTGCCATGATATTCTTCTTTAGAACAGGCGCCCAAAATTGCACAGCATATTCAAGGTGTGGTCTTACCAGCGATTTATAAAGCGGCAAACTTATATTTTCATCCCGAGAATTTATGCCCCTATTTATACATGAAAAAAACCTTACTGGCCTTAGCAACTGCAGATTGACATTGCATATTGCTGCCTAATTTGTTGTCTATAACATTTCCCAAATCCTTCTCGTGTGTGGTTATCCCTAATTTACTACCATTTAGTGTGTAAGTTGCTTGTGCATTCTTAACCCCGAAGTGCATCACTTTGCATTTCTCTATGTTAAATTCCATC